CATCTCCGATCAGTACATCCAGTCTAGTCAGGCAAATAATTGGTAGGAAAATGACGTCACCGTAGGAATATTGTAGGATTCCTACGCCCATATAAGGAAGCAAAAGAGAGAGAGTAATTATTTTACGTGTTTCGTGGTACGTCCGATAATAAATGCATTATTACTTACAATATACATTTACGTCAATTGTGCAATTACCCCGATTACCAACACCATTATACACAGAAACTTTGTATGTCCCAGTATCTAGTCTTGAGGCAGTAAATGTCAGTGTGCTATTGGCAGTCAGTCTACTTCCATTAGGATGAGTCCAGATGTATTCATAAACAGGTGGGTTTCCTGTGGTGGTGACGTTTAACGAGACGTTTGTTCCTTCAGCTAATATATTATTATTAGGATGTATCTCACACGATGAAGGAACTAAAAAGAAGCAAGAAAAGGTATTTCGAGCGCTGAAAAAGTAAGATAACTAATAGATTATTTACACCATTGCACATCTCCCGGGCGGAGGGGGGAAGGGGGGTACTCCCCTATATTTGCTATACGGGTATGTGTCACACTATAGGGTATGGTTTTTCGGCTTTTGGGTCTGGGATAGGGTATCATTTTTGTCTGGCATAGGGTATCATTTTTGTCTGGGATAGGGTATCATTTTTCACACTGCATACTGATTTTCGATTTCTACGCTTTATTTCGGGACTAAAACAATAAAACCTTAGTAAATATTGATTGAAATCTATTAAATAACCGTCTTTTCCGTCTTTTAGTCTGGGATAGGGTGTACAATTCTTAATTTTAGTCTGGGGTAGGGTATGTAAAATCAAAATTTTAGGTCTTGGATAGGGTCAGGGTTTGAGTTCCTGGCGGCGCACCCCTACCCAAGTTGGGGTGGTAGTACCCCCCTCCCTCCCGGGCCACATCTATAGAAACGCATAGGTATTGGGACACAGAGATATCACGATACGCACTGTCCTATTGTACTTATATGCACATGTTATCGACTTCGCAGAGTGTAGTGGCTCTGCCTGGGATCATAGTACAACGTTAACATTATACCAGTGACAGTGCATATCGCGGTGTCGAAAACCACAAACACTATCGAACTATAATTTCTGATGAAGGGCGTTACTCGTGACCTGTAATTGGTCATGAATTTTTCCTGAGTTTTGCTGAAAACCTTTTGAATCCAAGATCACGCGTGAATTCATGCTTCTACATCTATGTTCATCATTTTATAAGCGGAAGTTCAGTTAAAATGCCCAAAAGCTATTTGATAATCCAGGGAATAACGACGAACAAAAAATGAAAGCTTTCATTATTGAAAAGCAAGTTCTGATCTCAATAGTCAATCAATGCAACAATGTGGACAATATAGCCTAGAGACTATGTGACCTTTAACTTCTATTCATATACTAAATCATTTAAGTCAACTCACATGTCAGTCGATGGTATTTCGAAATCGTAAATAAATAAAACAATTTTCTTCTGTATTACTTGATTAAACTAATGATACATCAATATACATTCTTACGTATACCCGGAAGTAAAATTATAATAGCACATTGCCGAATAAACTATCAAACAAGACAAATGTCCTAAAATAGAATGAAGCATATATTCAGACAAACACAATGTGCATAAACATAAAACCACGCGGTTTATTTATTTAATTTGTAAGATCTAAGCTTCAGACCTCCAGACCATGTTTTACTTACCATAAATGTTCAGCTTTGTGGTTCTCCAAGAACAGTTGAAGTAACCGTCGTACACAGTTATTCTRTAATACATCTCGTCAGYTTTCCTTGATAGATTACGAAGYGTAAAAGTAACATTCAAGACATTTATGTTCGCTTCAACATCTAAGTCCATGTCAGCAAGTCGGTCGGCCAACAGTAACTTTATACCAGAGGGATACCATCTTCTTATGAGGTCAAGGCTTCCTGCACCAGCATGAGATGTAGCRCTCCTTGAGATCTTTACTGCAAACCATAGTCTACCAAAATCAATGCGAACCCTCCAGTTGAGCTTTGCCGTGTCATCTTCCACAACATTCACTGTATCGTCCGAATGTAGCCAAGTGAATGTTCCAGCGTCTAGAAACAGCTTATTATAGTGAGCTTAATTAGCCTTTGTTTGTTTTCGTTTAGTAATAAAGTGCTCCCCCCCCCCCCCCCCAAACATATTTCCTTACCTGAGGAACGGAAAAGCAATGCTGAAACCAAACCCCCCCCCCCCCCCCCCCAAACATATTTCCTTACCTGAGGAACGGAAAAGCAATGCTGAAACCAAAACCATTGCCAATGATTCCATACTAAAAAGCATAATCAAGCACACGCTACTCACAAAGTTGTCATAGAAATGTCTTCTTCATAGTACAATATATTAAGTTGGGCTACCTATGTTAATGCATTGTAAGATCCATGTATCTATTCACGGTCAGCGGTATACCACTGTATGCATATCATTTTAAGCTTTCATTCTGGGCATCGTTCAGATTGTGTTGGAGAACGAGGTATGTAGAGAATTAGCGTCTAATTTCCTTATGTTTGTAGCAAATATATTGTAAAGTGATTGTAAATGTTTCAGAATCGTAGATGGGCTGTTATTGAAGTGTATATGAATCACCAACCAAGTTTGAGTTCATCACGAGTGTCCGCATAAAGCATGTTTCTCGCATAAAGCAGTACGTTGCCACAAGCTATGTAGCTCATATATAGGCTTACCATAAACAACGAAACGAAACGAAACGAAACGAAACGACACAATAAAATGCGAAACGAAGATTTCGCATTTTACAGATCTTTAAAATGCGAAACCGTCATTTGGTAAAAGGAAATCTAGCAAACGTAAAACTCAACTCTCAATTGATATTTGTCAATTGTTTGCTTTATTGTTTATTAGTATAAATAAGTGATTGTAATCCAAAGTCCACTATACAGCTTGGTTATTGTGTCAGCATATTATGTTTAATGTATGTGGTTAACAAATATGAATGAATCGCGTTTTAGAAGGCTGCTTATTTTTTTTATTCTTTGATTTTCTTTAACATTATGATATACTGTGTGATTTACTTGATTGTTACAAGACTGCCTTTAAGTATGATGGATTTGTCTAAAAAAAACTGTAAAAAGGAATGTGATCAAATTAAATCAGCAAGTGTATCTTTAATACTGGAGTGAGTGTGCTATCAGTAATGATACAGATGTCAGGCCCGTATATCATTTACTCTATTAGTAGCATTTTAAAAACCACAAAGCAGTGCCTCATCAATGCTGGTCTCTTTTGGTCCTTATTCATTTAACATTTGCTTAAGCCATCCAGAGACTGGTACTTTGGAGACACACCCTTGTGTTGAAGGTCCTGGTATTCTCCTGTACGTGTTGGGCTTCCTGTGGATGTCAGTACTGTACCCTTAGGGGAAAACCGTGTGAAAGGACTCAGTGAATCGTAGTTACCAGTACGAGGTTGGATGGTCTGATAGGTGACTGGTGGTGAATTGGAAGAAGCCCCTGTTTGTCCATGTTGATCTGTATTTGCATACTGAGGCATGGGGTTATTCGTCTGTATACCAGAGTGTGGTTGACGTGGTCGGGTTCTTGTTATCACGGTTTCATATTCTGGGATACCAACATTACTCGTTGATAATCCTCGCCTTTCTATTGGTTCATATTCTAGCACATTTGGTGTTTCGTTATTTGGGGAATTAAAACTTGTCTCTTGAAGTGAGATGTCGTTCTTTGTTCGTAAGGAAGAATAATGGTAATGAGTGAGTAGACAGAGAAGAAACAAATATATAACGCACGAAGAAATTAATACAACAAGGATGAAATGAATGAATGAATAGATGGATGGATGGATGGATGAAATGAATGGATGAATAGATGGATGGATGGATGGATGGATGGATGGATGGATGGATGGATGGATGGATGGATGGATGGATGGATGGATGGATGGATGGATGGATGGATGGATGGATGGATGGATGGATGAATGGATAGCTACATCAAAATTTCATGCGCAATAACAATAACACATAAATAATATTAGGTGATATTGTAAGCTTTATACATATAAAATTTACCATTTGTCCTCTCTTGTCACCTGTGTTCGATCTGCAAAAGGGGATATTAACATTTAATTGTTTTAATCAGAACTTTGATCTTCTAAATGTTTCAGGATGGTACGTACTTTTTTCCAGAAATTCCTTTTGAATCTAAAATGAGGAAAAAAATTAAATTAAATTAAATTTTTAATCCTATCTTTTTCCTTTTTTTCCATCTCTTCCTTCATGTTCCAAGAGTTTACACCCAAAATAACGTATCATACCTTTTCTACGTGACCACAGGAACCCCACTATAAGTATGATGATCAGGACAATCGACAGACCAAACAGTACTCCAAGAACTGCAACTAGTGTATTGTTCTCCTCTTTACATGGAATCGGTGTATTTTCTTTGAAGTCTACAAAAGGGTTATTTATGTTATTACGATACAAACATAGTCACACAGATTTTTACCACTATTTTCATTTATACACGATATCGAGACATAAGTCGGTACAGCCAAATCAGGCAATATGGACTAACTACCGCAAACATGTCAATTAATCCTTAGAGTACGTAAAAGTACATGGGGCGATTCATTTGATTAACGACAGTCTGTTGTTCGATTTCCCAGTTACTACCTATGTCTTGATGAGCGCGTAGCAATGAAATCAGTGCTAATACAAAAGTAAGAACACCCTTGGCCTTCCCCGAGTCAAATCCAAAGCTACTAAACCATCTTACCATTTGATTTCTGAATGCTGTTGTAGTCTATGTGTAGACCATTGATTTCTTCTCCCTGTGTTTTGATATAATCTCTCAAAGGCAGCAGTGGATCAGGTACTTGACCGATGACGTTGAGCTCAAACCGCACTATGATGCTTCCCTTACTATTGTAAACGAAAACAGCTTTAGCTCATGTTAAAAGAATTAAATCCCAATATAGAGATATCACTTACTGATACATATGCTTTTTTACAGTACATAAATGAAACCGATATAGTTCTTTTCTCAACTCTGTCTTTCCATTAATCTTTTTTCCTAACATGGAATTCTAACTATCTTGGCCCATGGATAACGTGAACTTCTGTAAGAGTTAGTTTGGCTTTGCATTAGCAGAGAGAACTTCTATGCAGTACTGCCATGATACGAGGAATGGAAGACAAAGACAACTAAGTGACGCATTAAAATGATAGGGTACCGGCTAATCCAATTTTCCATCCAATAGACCAGTTTTGAATTCCAAATTACCGCTGTGTTTCTTGATTACAGACTCACTTACTCAGGCTTAGCCTCGAGTTTGTGCACAATATTCACGTGTTCCAGTCAAGGTCCGTCGAGTTTCAAAGTGTTGTGCATTCTTTACTTTACTGTTGGTATTTGTGAATATTTAGACACTGATACGAGGCTAACCCTGTGCAAATGAGTCTGTAATCAAAGGACACAGCGGTAATTTGGAATTCGAAACTGGTCTATTGTTTTGAAATCGCACTTTACAGTGTCTAAATCCAGAAATGTTCATTTAAAAGCATTTTTTCCATTCCCACTGTATTCTTTTTCCCATTCAGTTACCCGTGACACCGATTCCATTTTTTCCAAGGCAAAAGAAGACAAATCCTAGCCTCCGAGTGTTACCCTTTAGGGTACTCGACGTTATTTTTCTCTATTTGCTTCTTTAACTCTATTATTAATATATATTAACCTGTATTAAAGTGCAGTGCAGTTTACTGATACTGTGAATGACATCAACGGTAAATACTTACACGAACTCTTTTATGTTTACGGCAGCCAAATATGCTACATCAAAGTATGCAGATTCTAACTAGAAATAAAAGAAAATATAAATATAATAAATGACCTTTCAATAAATAAATACAAACAAGACTATGAACGAATGACTAAAATTACTTACTATTTTGAGGCACTTCCTTTTAAGATCATTATATCCTGTCGACTTTGCTACTTTAAGGTCATCCTGCCATTCCATCTTTATTATTTTAAACTGGCCGGCAAATGATTCCTTGAAAACTATAAAAAGTAGAAACGAAAAATAAAAAAATAAAAAAGACATTGTAAATTGCAGCACAATAATTAGGACCACTGTAATTCTCAATAAAATTTCCGGTTTTGTCTGTAATCACAGAGTGGGACAATCACGAACGGAACCCTCATATCCATGCTAGGTGAAAGCGCAAGATCGAAATGGAATTTAGAAGTTGATATTTTGCGGAGGGAGGTAAACCGGAGAACCCGGAGAACGAAACACAGGAGAGAACCAACAAACAACTCTACTCACATACGAAACCGAGCACCCCGTGGCTCGAACTCGTGTCGAAGAAGCGCACGCCACCCGTGCTTCCCTATTAATATTACTCACGTATTGGTTGTCTGTAAAAATAGAATGTCCTTTCTCGTACACCAAGGCCATTTTCAGCTTTACACACAATTCTAGCAAAATCCACTTCATCCTGGATGATAACTACCACCAAATACTGTTTTCTAGTTAAACTTGCATCATGGCTGGTGATGGTAGTCAATATATTCGGTGCAGAAGGATTACAAGACAGGGTTGTGTCACTGGGATATGCGTTGATACTAAGGTTGAACAATACCAGTGGATTGGACTGAGAATAGCTCTTGTTTCTTGATCCAATTATTTCCAGAGGATCTAAGTCTGTTTTAAAAAAAATAAGTCAGACTGTTTAGACAAATATAAGCAGAAGGAGAAGGAAGATGTAATGACAACAAGACTAAATAAAATGTCATAACCCGATTGTTTGTTTTAAATAACAATCATTTGTTTATCAATAGCAAAGCCCTGTTGGTATCGAAGTGAAAGCAGTTGCCTTTCACCTATTCCACCCTCGTTCACTATCGGTTCCCGTATGAGTAGAGTTGGTTTTGAATGTTTGTTTCCCTCCTGTGCATCGAAGGTTTTTCTCTACGAGGTAAAAGTATGTGCATAATGAAAGGTGCCCAAAACCTTGAGTTTCTCTTTATTGTATATCTGTATGATTTAAATTTATTAGTGTCAAGTCAGTGTTTACTCACATTGTACAATGATTTTAATTGGTTTTGAAAGAACAAAGCCAAGACGATTTTTTGCTTCACATCGGTATAATCCATTTTGTCTCCGATTAATGTTCTTTATGATCAACGCACTGTTCTGTTGAATTGTTAACAACTCTCCGTTATACATCCACGTGTATGTGGAATGCGGATTACTGTGACTTTGGCAGTACAGGTTAAGGTTATCGCCTTCTTTTAAAGTTAGACTGGCACTTGAAGGAGTAATTTTAACGTCTGAAGGTGGATCTAGAAATAATAAAAGAAAGAGTCAAAGTCTTTATTGGCACATGCCTACCAGCTCAGCGGTGAACGAGTGAACAAAATGACCGGCACTAAGCAGTTTTGGAACTTGAAGAACGAAGCAAACATGGCGGTAAAGTGAAATCTTCTTCGTGTCGGCAGGTATATTGTATGTTAGTCAAAGGAAAACAAAATATACTAGTTGGGTTACAGTAGCCTGGAAATGAGGGCCGGTGGCAAAACAGCTAAACTCGTTGTGATTGGTTGAAACGAAATTCATCGCTTCACTTGGTAAGGAATGTTATTGAAACTTCTTTATTGCAATTGACGTCCACTAAAATTTTATCTAGCGCGTGTGATTGGAAAGCACTGTAGATCATTTGTAACTGTTCTACCATAACTCAAGTTTCTCAGTTGCCAGGGTTAGGCAATATGCCAAATATCCCACACTTGAGCATTCTTTGCATATCTTATCAGTAAGTTGCGAAAAATAAACAAAATCTCATTCATGAGTGTACTTCGAGACATATTTTTGCCTAAATGCAATACTATCTAAATGGAGCTAATGCAGATTTTGACAAATAATTTTATTTGTAAAGAAGGTAAACTTCGTACTTACATTGCACATCTAAGCATATGCTGGCATTCTTGGCGTGTCCAATACCATTATCTGCTGTACATGTGTAACACGATGAATCGTTCCCTTTTACTCGTGCTATAGCTATATTGAATATTCGTCCAACACCAATGACAGTGCCATGCTTCGTCCAGGTGATATTAGGTACTGGGTTTCCACTGGCATTGCAAACAAGACTAACGTCTTCACCTTCGTCAACTGCTAATACTTGTTTGTAAGGATTAACTATCGCTGGTGATTTTACCCTTTCTGAAGTATAGATCAATGGAAAGATAATTCGAAAATGTATTCGTAATCAAGATATATAGTTTGCGGCTTTCTAAGGCTGAAAACTTTTTTTTTTTTTTGCTTCAATTACATCAATATCTCTTTTTTCACTCTAAAAACGTTAACTTTATAACGTAGTATACGATACTATTATTAGAACATTACTTTGAAAGGAAACAAATAATTTTATCCGAAGAACAGCGACCAAGAGGCTCATAATTGGTGTCACAGATAAAGTTAAATATTGTTGAAATGTTTCGGTAAATGATAGCATTTCCGTATTCCTTACAATCATATAACAAATTTCTCAGTTTTACTCACTTTGCATAGTAATGGATATTGCTATCGATTTATAACCAAGACTGTTGTTGGCGAAGAAAGTATAGGTTCCACTTTCACTTTTTGTTACACTTCTGATCATTAACGTATTTCCTATGCCTCGAATACTTCCATTTCTTATCCACATCATATCAGGGGGTGGGTTACCGTTAGCACTGCAAACTAGCTCAACATCATCACCCTCCAGAACTGTTTTGTTATTACACGTGATTCTATCTGGTGGATATCGATCTGTTTTCAGAATAAAATGCACCATCACAAGATAACGTACTCATTAAATATATTTTAAATGAAATTATTTACAAATACAGAAAATGTGAAAAAATGTATCAGTGAAACCCAACCTTCCTCAAACCATCTAATGAATCGAGAGTTAATTGATTGGAAAAGCGCATTTTTGAATTCAGTTTTTGCCAAAAAAAACTTCTTCTCATAGTACGGACGATCAGCAAATTGGAGTCACTACCAAAGTAAATTTATTTCACCATCAGGTAAAAAATGTAATATCTGATCAATGCACAAACTTTAAAGTGGACGCGCGTGCCTTTTTTTCGAGAGTACTCGGATATATTTTCCTACACACTTAGATAATACTGTACATGCATCATTACTTACATTGTACAGTGATGTGGCGTTTGCAAATACTCCTATCACCAACACCATTATACACAGAAACATTGTATGTCCCAGTATCTTGTCTTGAAGCAGTAAATGTCAGTTTGCTATTGGCGGTCAGTGTACTTCCATTAGGATGAGTCCAGATGTACTCATAAACAGGTGGGTTTCCTGTGGTGTTGACGTTTAGTGACACGTTGTCTGTTTCATTAACTGTTATGTTTTCATCAGGATATATTTTACACGATGAAGGAACTGAAATTGTTAGGAGAAGTAATTAAAGACAAAATCGACAGTAAAATAAAAAAGAAGCCAAGAGATGAACTTCCCTATCCTCATCATCCCATTTCACAAAAAAAGTTTTTGCATCTTGCATGCTACATACTATGCTGGAAAAGTATTGTGGATCACTTGTAAATAATCAGCACAAACTAAATATGCCGGAAGAACGTGCTGAAATAGTTTGGGGAAGTTTAGAGGAAATATGGGGGGGGGGGGGGGGGGGGGGGGGGGGGGGGTGGAATCATAAAATTTTTCAGGCGTTCAAGGGATGTTAAATTATTTTTGTAATGGTAGGGGTGTGCTAATTTTTCTGTCAACATCAAATGACTATTAACTAACATAAAACTCAACAAAAAATTTAATGAACAGGATAATTGCACACCACTATTTAAATAACATTGTAATCTTGATCATCATAATCGTCATCAATAGTGGGATTAGACTTTCCTTCAAGTCCATGTATTACAAACTCAACATGTTGGAGAGCTTCATCGCAAAACAACTCCAAATCCTTAAGATGTTTTAAGTGCTTTCAAATGAAATTTGGGCTCGAGGAGTTGCAATGCTTGCATATTGATATCTCCCTTTGAGGACATCTGAAGTTGACTTGGAACAAGTACTATCTCTCTACTGGAAATGTGGGTAATCAATTTTTTTCTCTTGTCTTCACTTGGATCACACTTTCAAGTATTTCTCTTGCCCTGTTTTCCAACCTTTTCTGTGGCTGCTTTTGGCCTTTCTGTTGTTTTCTTTCTTCCTTCTCTTTAAGCAATGGAGCGTTTTAACTGAAGCTTAGAGATATACTCTGTCTAGATCAAGAGAGTGTAAAATGGGAATGTTTAAATCATTATGTATTGTGTGGAGGCTCTTCAATTGTTCCTGTAGCTTTCCGATACAGGAAGATATGTACTGGTGCTCCTCCTCACATCCACTCTTTACACCAGAGATGTTGTTAGCGTTAACCAGCCTTTGGCGTCTTTGCTTGAGATCATTGTCTAGGATGCTGATATTGATTCTGAAGTGTATGATTATGACAATGATGACGAAGATGAAGACGAAAATGATTGTGATAATGAAAGTGACCATGACAGTGAAGACGATAATGACGTAGTGGCACTAGTCGACAGCGAGGAGGAAATGGAAACCGATATTCCTGTTCCAGTTCAGTTTGTATCGCAATCAGGAAGACAGTCTATAGCAAGCTCTCGTTGCCAGTCATCGCAATGGCTTGCATAGGAATGTGTAGGTGTCAGGACAAAGAAGTGTTTGTAATTAGGTATGTAGGTGGGGGGTTACAAATTATCCTGCTAAAGGAGAGGGGGGGGGGGGGCAATTTTTTTTGACATTAAGTGGGGGGATCTTAAAATTTTCGAGTATTTTTGAAATTTCCTCTGCCGTTTCACCCTCCACGAAATTCACTCTATCATCCGAATGTAGCCAGGTGAATGTTCCAGCGTCTACAAACAGTGAGTGACTGTCGTGTAATTGATGGTTTCGTGTCACTTAACATAATTTATTATTATATTAGGCTACCTGTGTCTTAGCCCGTGTAACGGAACTGATGAACCAAGAAGCCTTTATTTATCGAAAAGCAAGCGCTGATCTAGTCAATCAAAACTGTCCATGATAAGTATCCAAAAAAATTACACCTGTAAGATGTAACCATGAACTACTCCCATATGCAAAGAGCTTCAAGTAAATTACTATGTATGCCAATGGGATTTATGAACCAAATTTATAGAAAACATTTTTCTTACTTCTTCTTTATTACTTGATCAATGTTGAGTCTATCTTTATTCGTACCCGGAAGTAGGTAAATAAAATAATATATTACACAATTTATAAATAGGTTTTCACTAATAAAAATCAAACGATTTTCAAACAATGAAAATGTTCTTGGTGCGTAAAATCAAAACCATATATTCATGACCATTCCAATTGTAAACGTGTTAGTTTCGGAACTCCATAGCGTCCTTTACTTACCATCCACATTCAGCTTTGTATTTCTCGCCGAACTGTCCGGGTCATCGTCGTACACAGTTATTCTGTAATACATCTCGTCATTTTTCCTTGATAGATTACGAAGCGAGAAAGTAACATTCAAGACGTTCAAATTTGATTTAACATCTAAGTCCATGTTAGCACCTCGCTCGGCCAGCAGTATCTCTACACCAGACGGCTTTCTTCTTATCATGTCTACGTCTCCTGGACCAGAAAGAGCTGCAGCGCTTCTGGTGATCTTGACGGCTACCCATGTCTTACCAGCCCCAATACAAACACTCCAGTTGAGCTTTGCCGTTCCACCTTCCACAACATTCACTGTATCGTCCGAACGTAGCCAAGTGAATGATCCAGCATCTAAAAACAGCTTGTCATAGTGAGCTTAATCTTGATCGGCAACATGTTGTTTTGTTTTTGTTATCATATTATTGCTCCATGCAAACACCAAACTTTTCTGCTCTTACTTGAGTAATGGAAGAACAATGCAAAATAGAAAACTATTACCAGTGACTCCATACTGTAAAGTAGTCTCTCGTACGATTTTTACGTAAATCATGTACTTTCTGCAATAAGTACATTTTATTTTCAACAAATAATTGCCGTCGTCTTTAGAAATGGTTCCGGGTCACTTGCCCATATATTAGAAGTTGGAATACCTGTGTAATATTTTAGCCCGTGTGTAACCAGAGTTAATATATACTCTGGTGTAACGCATTATTATTACTAGACTGGTACCCTTACTAGTTAAAGCTAACACTTATCGTTCACAACTAGATATACGTCCGATATCTATTTTCATCAAAGTATAAGCGGAAGTGTAGTTAAAATAAAGCAACTAAAAGAGCCACCGGATACTGATGAACCAAGATATATTTACTTATCGTACAGCAAGTTCTGATCTAGTCAATCAAAACTATCCATCATGCACATACAGAAAACAAGATTAGTAAGATGTATCCTTGAACTTCTATTCACAACCAAATATCGTGATTTACCGAGTGTGACCCTTTGATCCGTGAGTTGGTGATATTAATTTCTATACTAGTATATAAATAAAGAATTTTTCTTCTGTAACAAACTTGATCGGAAAAATAAATATCTATCTTCCTTCGTTCCCGGAAGTAAAATAATATATATCTCAATATCGCCAAAGCGATACCTAGCAAGAATATTTAATTTTCTAGAATTAAAATGTCGAATAATCGATATTAACACAAACAGATCTATAATGTTTTTAGTGCGTACCTCAAAACCTTATCTCCATTTGACAAGCTTGTAATGTTAGCATCAGACCTTGGCAACTTAATGTGCATCTCACCTATCTTCATCAAGTTACGAGGGAAATAAAGTTAAAATGAAGCAACCATAAGAACCAACGGCGACTGAAGAATCAAGAATCGAAGCCTTTTAAAACTTTAACTAAAAGCAAGAATATCTAGTCAATCAAAACTGTCCATCTACATATACAGAAAATAAAACCCTCTAGCTTTTTTTTATATACAAAGATAATTGTAAACCGTGTAAGTCACTAACCACGTCAGTCCATGGTATTTCTATGCTAGTATAAATAAACAATTTTTCTTCTGTAAGAAAATAGTTGATCAAATAAATCTCTATCTCCATTCGTACCCGAAAGTAAAATAATATATAGCTCAACATCGGAAATTAAACAATTAACCGAGGTGGAGAATATTTTCTAATAAAATATCGCGTGATCGATACCACTCAAAAAGATCTGTAATGTTATTGGTGCGTACCTCAAAACCATATATCCATTTGAATTGTAAGACAAGCTTGTAATGTAAGCTTAAGACCTCCAGACCATCCCTTTACTTACCATCCACATTCAACTTTGTGGTTCTTATAGAACTGTCCGGGTCATCGTCGTACACAGATATTCTGTAATACATCTCGTCAGTTTTCCTTGATAGATTACGAAGCGAGAAAGTAATATTAAGAACATTCAAATTCGC